CTGTATCAGTAGGAGTTTGTCACAGATCATAAAAGGAGTTGGATCGTGACCTTGGTTTGTGACGTGAAAAGTCTGTTCAGCAGAGGAAGAGGAAAAGTGAGGTATCAATTATTATCAACATTGTTATGAACACTTTCTCACACTAACAGGCAGTTACATGGGAAAAAAGACTTCTAGTGAGTAACTGCTCTTTGTGGTGTTAACAAACATACCATTCAGGCCTCAGGTTTTCAGACAATTTTTATGTTCTACCTTTCTTTCAAGTTACCTTGCCCTTGCTTTCCAAATAACTCATTTTTGTCTCGGAGAGATGCAGCTCTGACTTCTGAAAGACAGAAGGGCTCCCTTTCTCCTCTCTCTACCGCTTTTCAGCCATGCAGTGGAGGGTTTTCTCTACAGCTTCGGGCTTTCTTATTCATTTTCTCTCTAGGGCAGCCCTTCTTTTGTCACAAGCTAAGAGATGATCCTGTAGTCATTACCCAAGCAACATTCCCCTTGAAATGATTGGGATTTTTGGACAAGTACTGCAGAATTGGGTCCTATGCCACCAAGAGCACTTTGGCTAGGAGTTGTCAGGGAAATTATGATATACAGCTATTAGAGCCAGTTGAGTGGATCACCACAACAAGCACTAGACTGGGGAACAGTGTGTCTTTAAAATGCACTCGAAATTCATGGGGACTGACCAAGATTTCCAAGATCAATTGCCGAAGTTTTCTTTTAAGAATATTGGAATACTATATTTTAAATTATGAGTAGCGGTAGAAATATCCTAGAGATGACAATGAAGCTCGTGCCTGTTGAAGAGGCTCAAAATGACAGAGAAATTGGGAAATCATAGATCCTGAGATAAAACAATAAATGCAATTATGATCTCTCAACTCATTTGCATTACTTTTTCTTGCTGCAACTTTTTTTCTTCATGCATAGCTGTAAAGTGTCGTTATTTATTAGCTATTCTGAAATGTTTCATGTATTTTCTCATTTGCAAATGTACCTGTGAAGCTGGTTAAAAAGTAGGGCATACTGTTGAGATGTGTAAAAATATTCATGAATTAAGTTCTGATCTTTGTAAGATTCCGAGTGATCCGAATTCTTCCACTTCATCAGGACCTGAGGTACTCTGTACCTTTCAAGCAAGTGCTCAGCACCTGATTTGAAAAAGAGCCGCCTAAAATAATTTACATGCAAGGTTAAAAACAGCAGGATTTGTCAGCTTTCCTTGGAATTTGTTGCAGAAGTTATAAGTTAGAAACTAAGGGGTCTGCTTGATCGTACAGAGTAGAGAAAATGAAGTTTGTTATTACTCATATCCTTTCTTCAGCAGCAACATCTCTCTTCCCCCAGCCCCAAGCGGTTGTGCATATTCCCTCACTTACGCTGGGTCGTTATCAGAGAGATCAGTTTATTGATTTGAGTATCAGTGCACCAGGGAAAGGAAGGGATGGTGTGAGGGAGGATCGGTTTAGCTGATGGTGGCTTGGAGAAAAGGTCAGTAGCCCCATAGCCTCACCATCATGAGAAAGTCTGTCACTACTTCTATTGATTAGGTCAAATCTGCATTAAAAAGTGTTTTGCCAGTAGCAAAAGGGGCACTGCCAATAAATTTTATATTGGTTCAGCAAGCAGACTGAAACCTCTTTTTGTTAACTCATGAGCATTAGGCTGATGAAATCCAAAGTATTTTAAAATCAGTTGTACTTTTTAGATGATTTATGAAAAATGCTTGTTTCTAAAAATGGTGATTTGATGTACTCCACAGTCAGTTTACGCTGGTGTTCAGCTATCGTTCCAGATATAAAGCTCTTCCTTACCACAACTTAATCCGCCTTCCTGTGGATACATTTATCTATTTACCTCTGCTTGGACAATAGACAAGTTACCTCTAGAAAGCTGAGGTTTGTTGTGCTTCTCTATGCTGATGTAAATCTGTATAATATAAGGCTTTTGCTATTACAAAAAAAACCTTGCATGGAGACTGAACACGGGAATGGTTCCTGCCGATTAATGGACATCTTCTCATAGGATGGTCTTGAAAGAGACTGTTCCGTTTCATGACACTGTTAGGTTTGGAAACTTTTGGCAAAAATAAAACCATCTGGGGGATCCCCACTCCAACCTTTTATAGCATATGCTTGTTAACATATTTATATATTTTAACTAGAATAGACTGATATTTGATGTTATGTTTTCCTGTCCTAAAACAAGGGAAGAAGAAAAGTGGAGAGACAAACTTCAATCCTGAAACCAGACCATTCATAATTACCAAAACAGGTGTTGCAAGCAAAACTTTTTTATTTCCACAAAACAGCATTTTTTTTTCGGTAGAACATATATACAAAAAAAATATTCCAACTAGCTATTACTCTATGATTCACAAAAAGATAGAACATTTTTT